ACACCCAGCCTTGTACTTGTGGATCCTATTTACCCAAGTAGCAGAAATCCTCTTGAGCTGTGGCTACCATCTCCTAACAGGCTCCCAGTAGACTTAGACCTGTCACGACTGTTAACAATGTGCTTCCATTTCTCTAACGATAAAATCATGCAACCTCTCTTCTCTTTCCTGAGTGTCGGCTATATACACCGGGCTCTCTATGCCTAGCACCTTTACAAGCCTGATTTCATGTGTCCTCAGAACAAGCCTACAAGATAAATAGTACTAATTCAAAATTGCACAAAAGATGAAACAATTACCTAGGACGACACCAGCTAAGTGCTAGAGACAGTGGATAAATCAATGTCTGTCTGATTCTGACATCTACACCGCTATCTCATTCATCTATGTTTCTACTACCAAGACAGACTAGATCGGATCAGATTCACTGTCTATAGGGGTTGAAATGACCATGGACTTGTAGCTGATGATATCTCATTCGTCCTGCCATCTTCAAATGAACATGATGAGCACTTGAAAGCCATTAACTATAATGAATGCATTCATTATTTTAGATCCAAGATATTTACATAGCTACATGTCCTGATAAATTCACATCAGGACCTTGGTTAAGGAATTCTTGTCCTAGCAAAGTAAAGGATTAATGTACTCTAAGTGCACATAAGGGCATCCTGAGTATACTTCACTGGGAAAGCTGGAATCCAGAGTACTGATGAGGTCCACAAAAACATCTTTCCTTGGTGTTTAATTTTACAATATTAAACTGCCTTCTTTCACACATTTCCCCCAAATGGCTGTCCATAAAATGCCATACTTCCATTTGCCTACTTGTTTAGTCCTCTTTTCAAAGTGCCTCGAGTATTCTGGGTATGCATTCTCTCCTTTTGAGGCTCCCTGGAATAGCTGTGACGGTTGACTGTTGAAGCGCTAGTAATTGAAATGAGTTGGTAATTACGACATTGAATGCTTTCTCTGTAGCCAGGGAAGTGTGATGAGCACTTGAACTAGCTAACAGAAACACATCAAGCCACTGCCAGGAGAGCTATCATAAAAATCCATGATTATTACAATCTTTAGTTGGCAAGTCACCACCTTGAAAACCCAGAATGGCACCAGCCATCACCATCACCTCCTCATTCTGTTGATCCTTTTCTTACTATTCAGAAGCTTTTTAGTCTGATGTCCGCCCACCTGACGACTCTTGCTTGAATTGCTTTGTTATATCCAAAGTCCATGGCCAAGGCCAAAGTTTCTCCCATTTCCTCCCAGGACTTTACTGTTTCAGCTCCAGTTGAAACATCAATCCCTAATCTGTTTTCAGGAGATTTCTGTACAGTTCAAAATAAGGATGTGATTTCTTTTGCTTTGCCTTTCCTTCTCCTTCCCTCCCTCCCTCCCTACCTTCCTTTCCTCTAATTCTTGTCGATATCTAGTTTCCCCAGCATTGATTACTGGGGACAGTTTTGCTTTCCCACTTTGTCCTCTTATCATCCCTGTCAAGGGTTAGTACATACTTGGGCTTAGGTCTAGGCTCCCCATCCTGTTCTTTGTTCTAGAGGTCTATCTGGCAATGCCATACTGTTTTAATCATTTTAGCTCTATAGGATGCTTTTTAATTTGGTTGTATAGTGCTTCCTGTTTTGTTCATTCTTACAGCTGTTTTGGTTACTGAGGAAATTTAAAGGCTCCATATGAACTTTATAATTGTCTTTTCTGTGTAAAAGGTGCCATTGAGATTTTCGTGGTAATAATCTCAAATCTGTAAACCAGATTGGGTAGAAAAACACTTAAATGATGATCATTCTTATAGGCTATGAACAATTTTTACATTTATTAATTTGTGTCTCTTTTAACTTCTTTGATCTATGTGTGGAAGTTTTTAGTACAGAAGTCTTTCACCTTATTAGTTAAGTTTATTCCTAAGTATTTTAGTCTCTCTAATGGTGTTGTAAATGGGAATGTGTAGCTAGAGTTTTCCTGCCTGACCCACAGTCAGGACAAATCTCTCTCACCTGCCAGTCCCACAGCCACTCAGACCCGACCAAGTAAACACAGAGACTTATATTGGTTACAAACTGTATGGCCGTGGCAGGCTTCTTGCTAACTGTTCTTACAGCTTAAGTTAATCCATTTCCATAAATCTATACCTTGCCACATGGCTCGTGGCTTACCGGCATCTTCACATGCTGTTTGTCATCGTGGCGGCTGGCAGTGTCTCTCTGACTCAGCCTTCCACTTCCCAGCTTTATTCTCCTCCTTGTCCCGCCTACACTTCCTGCCTAGCCAATGGCCAATCAGTGTTTTATTTATTGACTAATCAGCAACACATTTGCCATACAGAACATCCCACAGCAGGAATGTTCTTGAGTTTATTTTTGAACGGTTTATTCTCAGGTATAGATACATGACTGGTTTTGTGTTTTGACTGTGTGCTGGAAGCTACCTTTGTTCATTCATTAGTGCCAGTTATTTTGTGGTATATTTGTGACCTTTCTACATATCAGATCAAATCATCTCTGGTAATGATGTGTTCAACTTATCATTCCTATTATTAAAGTTAACATCTCTCATTTGCTTTTTATTTTCCAGGATCATTAAAGGGATCATCTTATTAAATTACCAAAAAAATTTCTTAAGTAAGAAAATTAAATAATCAAAGATTAGAGAGATTGAAACTATCTTTCCATGCATGGCAGAGCTGAAAAGTAGGACTCTTATCTCTGGGGTAATGGCAAGAAAAAAAGTCTTGGGGCTGGATCAACTGCTCAGACATTAAGAGCCCTTGCTCCTCTTCTAGAGGAGCAGAGTTCAGTTCCCAGTATCCATATCCAATGGCTCACAGCATCTGTAACTTCAAGTCCAGGGAATGTAACACCTGGCCTCCACAGGCACCAAGCACACATGTTGCATGAGCACACATATGGGCAAAATACCCCACACATGAAATAACAAAACAATCTTGAAAAGAAACAAGGTTCTACAAGGTCAGGAGGAGGAAGGTACTATCTAGAAGTCAAGTGACAACTCAAGCCTCCTTTCCAAGGGTGTCTTTTACCTTGAGGTTACCCAGATATACCAGCAAGCTATTTCTAAATCAGCCACAACTAAAAAGAGGAGTCAATCGATTTCAAAGCCAGTGTTGAGTAGAATAACCCTGGAAATATCCAACTTGAAAGATCACCCTGATGCAAAGGGCTGTTTAAAGAGCTTCCTAAGCCGGGCGGTGGTAGCGCACGCCTTTAATCCCAGCACTCGGGAGGCAGAGCCAGGCGGATCTCTGTGAGTTCGAGGCCAGCCTGGTCTCCAAAGCGAGTTCCAGGAAAGGCACAAAGCTACACAGAGAAACCCTGTCTCGAAAAAAAAAAATAAAGAGCTTCCTAGACTTGGGACGGACTTCACAAAACCAGCAGGGGCATGCTTCAGGGTGATTCCTTCCACCACTCTTCTGAAGATATCCTGGTGTGGAATTTCTAATACTATCAGATCCTAGGACTTCAGATTCCCAGATCATGACCTTTAATGGTGATTGTGTTTGTGGCATGTCACATCAGCTGGGATTGGAGGAAAGCTAGAGAGACAGACAGGGGTTCAAGAGGCATCTTCCAATGGCTTCTCAAAAAGTATCTGTGCTCTGCACCTGAAGGCTCCCAGCTTGTCATAACACTTTCCCAACACACAAGATCACTTTCCAGGCTGGGAAAACCAAAACTGTAGAGGTGCAATGTGACACTGATGTCCTGTGAAATGATTGCTACAAACTCACCTCTGAACTTGAACAAGTAGACTTCATTTGTAGAGGAAAGTGGGGACAGGTCCCCTGTGGGAAAAAATGAGGCAACTGCACTGGCATCTTTATGTAAGTGTTTGCATAAATGTATTTGCAAATGTTTATGCAAGTGTTTACTGGATAAACTCTGTGTTTGGACTATATACATCAAATATTACCCTTAATTCAATTTTGAAATGCAACTTTTTTCCCTAAACTTGCTTCAGTAGTTCCAAAAAGATGGAATCCAAATCTGATTCATCCTTCCTCCCACCTGTCAGTCATTGCTTGGCACAGAATAGGTACTGAATTTGGTCTTGATAAATTAAAAAAAAAAAAACATTGATTTTATAAATGTACAGTTACCTTTGTCCTTTTGTCTAAACCATAAATCAGTGTGATAATCAAGCCACATGGCTGAATTACATACAATCCAACCTGCCATATTCTTTCTCCATAGCTCTACAACTTCCTCAGAGGGTAAAAATGTTCCCCATAGGCTCACCTGTTTGAAAATTGGTCCCCAGCAGGTGGTGCTGTTTAAGAAGGTGGTGGAAACTTCAGAGTGGGAGAAGCCTTTCTAGAGGAAGTGGGTAACTTGTGGGGTGGGCCTTGAGATCTGATGGCCTGGCCTCACTTCTTGCTCACACTCAGCTTCCTAACTGCTAATACAATGTGACTACCTGCTTCCTGCCCTTGTACCATGCCATCCCTACCAGGATAGAATGTACACCCTCATACTACAGCTTGATTAAACCTTTTTCTTTAATTGCTTCTTGTCAGCTATTTTGTTACAGTAACCAGGAAAGGAAATAACATAGATAGGAACTCATTTCATCATCTTGGGGGCCACAGGAAAGAGCCATGATCAATAGAACCAGGTAGATGTTTGAAATCTGATGAGTCCCAGTACTGTTATGCAGCACCTGATGGTATTATTTTGGAAGTAATCTGGGTATAACCTGGGAATGGTGTTTACAATGGACCCAGGCATCATTCTGTGGAGCCTTTCAAAGAGGCACAATGCTTCAGAGCCAAACTAAGGAGTTCAAGCCCCATAACTGACAAATGGAGAAGCACAGCCCAAGAGAACTGAACCTGCCTGAGCTCACACAGCAGGCAGAGGGCAGAACCAGCCTGTCTTTTCATCCACTCTACATCCCACCTCATCTTCAGTTCTTCATTTAGTGCCTCCCTGACCTCCCCAGGGAAAGGAGACCCTTCTCCTACTCACCCTCAATATCATGCCTTGGAGACTTGTTTTCAGTGTTCTGTAGTCGCATCCACTCTTGCCCAGGACTGTATGGAATCGGTAACTTGTCAGGCACTGAATGGCCCATAAATATCTATGAAATAAGTAAGTGAACGAGTGAATGAATGAACATACAAACTCCTCACAGTGCATTCTCATTACTGTATATAGCTTTAATTTACTTATATAGAGAGAAAAATCCATCACAAACAAATCTTTTATTTCCATTCAAAATAACTAATGAAAAAAACATCTTTAAGACTGAATTAAAACACTTTTTGAAAAATGAGTAGATGTTTCTAGCATGTCTGGACACTCACTCTTGAGACCTCTGATTCCTCACAAACTACCACTCCTTTTCCTTATCTTCTTGTCTACAGCCTGCCACACAATGATAATAGTGGGTAGTAGGGCATCAAGACATCATTTAGTGAATACATGTGGCCAATGATTATAATTTATAATGACAAATTATCTATATAATCATTCAAGTTGTTACCCAGAATTTAGAGGGTAGGTTTTCTGTAGAATGAGCCATTTGCTTTTTCTAGATAGAGCTAAATTCTGTGAACTAACCAGAAAGCTGACTGTGGGGTGTCTGAACCCAAGGGAAAACTCGGTCTCAGTTAAGAGGTTAAGGATCTTTCCCCCTCAAACATGAGAATAAATTGGGGCTACAAAAAGGACAAACAATAAACCATCTCCTGCCTGCTCAGCATCAGGGACCCTGGAGCCCAGGTACCCACTGCCCGTACTGAAATGAAACCCAACCGTGGTCAAGTATGCTGGCTGAGTCACAGCTGAAGCAAAGCTATATCCACTGCTCAAAGAGATAGCACATGGCCAGCGCAGCAGTGGCCTCCCCAGACTGCCAGGCTGCCCTGACCTGAATGTCCTTCAGACAGAAGGTGCTTTTCTGAAATACACAGAGGCCTACTGTAACCACCCTGTGGCAGCCATAGGTTAAGTCTATAAAAGAAAGGGTTAACATCCTGTTCTGGGCAGAGTGCACTGCCTGCATTATGTTAAAACCCCTTCGTGGAAAAGAAGAGCTCTAACTGTTGTGCAGAAAATCTCCACCCCTTCTGATCGATGGGCCTTACTGCCAGGGCATCTAGTAATTTCTGATCCTGTCACCTGTAGCCTTCACTTCAATGACAGGGCACAGCAGGCCAGGGGCAGACAGCCGCCAAGTTCCGCATGGCAAGGCATCAACATTGCCAGGAGGTGTGAGTGGTGCATGGAGGGGGGTGGTGCACACCGCCAAGGGGAGGTCGCCAGGGTCACGCTAGGACTGCTTTAAGCCATGGCCAGGTCCTCCATCATAGACTTAGAGTTCAAAGTTCTATTAGGCCATAGGTCACGGATCTCATCTCAAGGTGATTGTCACCTCTGGCCCTTTAGCATCCATCTTGGAGCAGCTACATCCATTCCACAACCAGTGGGCACTCTCAGTGATTCAATGATGGGTCCCTGCCTTTGGAGGAAGCTTACAGAGGTTGAATCCTACAGCCTCCCATTTGAATTTTCCTCTCCTCTCTGCTCCTGCTAATCTAAGGCATGTTCCAGATCTGGAGCACATCTGAAATTAGAACCTGTGGGACTCTCCATTACTGACTGAGACTGTGCCCACTTCTTAGGTCTGCTAGCCTTTTTCTTGTCCTCACTCCTCATCTTGTCCCCGCTCTGAGAACCAGCCCACCTCCCCAGAGTTTCCCTCCTCCCACTCGCCTCTCTTAGGCCCAATCTGGAACACACAGAGTAATGAAGACAATCCCCCTGCTGTCTTTTGCTGTCACATCTTGTTATGGAAAAAGAGCATGTTGCTCTCAAGCCTTAAGGAACCTCTCCTCACCTTCTCCTTTCGAATAAGTAATAGTTGGTTGCTTTGGGTCATTTATAATTCAATTTTGAGGCATTCCTATTGCACCAGTATCTATTCTGAAAAAAAAAAAATCATCTTTCAGCACATACAGAGCAAGCACTCTGTATGGTGCTCTGAACTTTTTAATCTGCAGAACAACCAACAAAGCAAACTCCTTCTTTGAAGTGAGAGACAGAGGTACAAACACCTTATAAATCGCCACACATCTACTGGGTATAAGCTGCACTAATAGAAGGCATCTGAAGGATAGTTGGATTGTCCTGTGGCCAGACCCCACAGCTATCATCAGTAGGAGTCATGCCCAGGCCATCTCGGGCGGGATCCAAAAATCACACATCTGTATCCAATGGTCCCTCTCCACCTTGAGAGTTTTCAGAGAAAGGAATCTTATACCCCCTTCTAGTAATTTTGTGGAGCGACAGTTTCCAGAAAGGAAAATGTTATATTGGTCTAGACATGGGATACCCAAGTCACATTTCTTCAAAACTATATCTTTTTCCAATAATGTTATGTTGTGGACTGAGACATGACTCATCAAACAAGATAACTTCCTACCCAATCATAGTGACTAGAGTTTGGATCTCAGCACCAACTCCACCTCCAAGGGATCTAACAACCCTCTCTGGCCTCCATGGGCACTGCACTCAGTTGTGTACACACACACACACACACACACACACACACACACACACACACATACACACACACATACACAAATTTTTACAAATTTTAATGTTGTGTTGCTTGAAATACACTGTTCTTACGCTTTGGAGTCTTAATCAAGAAATCATCACCCAGAGCAACTAAAGGAGATTCCCAGTTTCATTCCACTCTCTCTCCAGCTTATGCTATTGGTAAGTGTTTTTTCCATTTGGAGTTAATTCCTCATGATGCATGAGATAAGGCTCCAGTGTCATCCTTCTGCATGGAGATGTCCAGTCTTCCCATTGCTGAGGTGCTGCCAATCCTCATTTTGTGTCTCAGCACTTCCTCAAAACTCAAATTGACCATAAATGTTGTTTTCTAGGTTTTCTCTTCTGTTCAACTGGTTAGTATGTCTGATTTGCACCAATACCAAATTATTTCTGTTTGTTTTTTTACTTAAATTTTTATTCATTTTTACATACCAACCACAGATCCCCCTCTCATCCCTCCTCCCACTCCCCCTCTGCTCCCCCCTGACCCCCATGCCCTCCTACAAAAGAATACCATATTATTTTGTTTGCAACATCTTTAAAATATATCTTGCAATCTGGAGGTATAAATGTTTTGAATATTTGGGGCATTTTTTGTTTTATGTAAATTTCTGTTTCTATGAAAAACATCATTGAAGTTTTGGAATGTTAGGGATTGTATTGAATCTATAACTTACTTTGGGTAGTGTGGACACTTTTCTATTAATTTGTCCAGTGCATAAATAGGGGATGTACTTCTGTTTACTTGTCTTCCTCCATTTCTTTCATCAATGTTTTGCAGATTTTGCCATCCAGGTCATTCATATCTTTTGTTACATTAGTTTCTGAGCATTCTGTATGCTGTTCTAACTAAGGTAGTTTTATTCATTTATTGTTTGTTGTCAGTACATAAAGATGCTCCCAATTCTATCTGCTGGTTGTAGCCTCCAGCTTTACTAAACATATCAGTTCTAATGGTCCATTTTTGTGAGCCATTTGGGGATCTCTGTATATAAGATCCTGCACTCACAGCAGAGATTTCACTTCTCCACCTCTTGTATAGATCCCTTTTATTTTCTTTCTTGTCTAATTGTTGCGGCTTGTTGATATCACAGAAATAGAGTGGAAAGGAAGAGGCTTAGGAGGAGAGCAATGGACGGCAAAGAGAACATGTCAATCAGAGGTGAAGTTTCAGTTAGGTCAAAAGAACATATTTCAGTAATCCATTGTGTGGCACAGCAATCACAGTTAATGAGGCCGTGTTTTAAATTCTAAATTTGCTAAAGAATAAATGTATTTGTTTTCATCCTGGGATTGAAGCTTAATTCTTGTGCATGCTAAGCAAGTACTGTTCTACTGAGCTTTATCTCCAGCCCAAAAATATATTTATCCATATAATGTTGTTACCACAAAAAGTATCTAGTTATTGAAGATGATAGATATATTATTCCAGTAGTTTTTCTATGATGAATGTGTATATCAAAATATCACATGTATCAGATAAGTAGACATAATTATCTTTCAAATAAACACAATAATAAATTTTAAAAACCACTTCAAATCCATGGACCATGAAGAATAATGTTGTAAGGTAGCTGGATGGACAAAACCCCTGACATTGCTAAGTTCTTGCTCTGGCTTCTTTTTCTAGAATAATAATTATTTTATTTCCCTGGCTTGACTGACACTTTATACTATAGCCCCTCAAACTTGTTGTTCAGTGGTCCTGATGGAGACATTGCAGTCCTCTGTGGCAGCATGGATATACAAGCTGGTGGTGAACCATTCTTCAGAGAGAGTGTGGGCCAATAGCACGGGCCACCATGGGGGTGTGACAGGAAGCCAGGCTGGCCAGTTCATTGACCTGCAGGCATGTGAGAGCTAGGTTTCAAGAGAAAACAAAACTGAACAGTACGCCCAGATGTTCTACCAGGAACAAAGGTTGGATCTAGGCATGCTTTACCAAGGTTAAGTCAACACTGGACACAATTTGTTCCCTGGGCACTTTTATGATGATGAGTCACATCCAAGCATTTCATGAATACAACATTTGAAAGTGGCCAAAAGTCTAAGGTACCATCCTCTTCACCAGAAAGCAAATATCAATGTTTTCCATGAATTAGAGTCCAAATGCCAAACTCAAGAGAAAGCACTTGAATTGATGTGTTAGTTACCCAGCATTGACCTACCTCCCACAATATGTTAAACAAAGGGCATGGTCTCTGAGCAGCTTCCAGTCCCCTAACTCAAAACCAAGTGTTACACAGTTAGTGTCCCATACAGGAGCTGGTGCTGCCCCTTCAACGTTGCATTTAATTCCCCAATGCCACTACCAGAAAAAGAAAGAAGTCCATAACTGGGCAGAGGCTGTGAGAACGCAGAAAAACTTGATTTGACCAATGGAGTTCTACTGCCCTTGTTTGGGATAGAAAATGTCCTGAGGGTTGGGGTATACAGTATGTAGAGAATGCAACAGATTCACAAAGTTGGAAGAGTATGTTAGACTTA